TTGGCACACCAGTCCCAGGTTCTTCTTTATAGGAGCCCCAAATATGTGCCCTACATTTCTAGGCGGAATTGTTCTCCCTCCCCACTCACCTGATGTAGTTGAAGATAAAATGCTTCCAGTGTTGTTACACCAATGTGTTTCAGATGTTCAAATTGTTGAGCCTGATTATTGTTATTTTTAAAAAAACTGATCTAGGGCTCAAGTGCAAGCAGATTTTTATTCACCTGGCACATTAATTGTCTCCTGTTTTTTTCTTTTTCAAGCGAAAAGCAGCTTTGGGAGGCTGCAGGTTTGAGTGGAGGGATGTGGGGAGGGACAGTGAAAAAGAGAGAAAGAGGCTGCTTAATCCTTTCCTCCTCAGCTGTTTTTCTTCTCAAACTTTATCCCAACCTGCTTTTTCACTCGTAGGGGAAAGGATATGGGTATTGTGGCACTGAACCTCCCTCTTGCATTCCTTCCCCTGACTCACAGCCTCCTGCACCTGTCTTTCATTAAAAATTGGATGTGCCTTTCCTGCATAACTTCAGCTATATTCCCGAGTTATTTGGGTATAAAGGGCACTCACATGTTGAAGCTGGAGCAGGGCTGTGTTGTGGCGCCACCCTCAACATAACACCCCCGGGGTAGCCCCCTACTCCCATGTCCTTGCAATCAACACAGTTGATGGATTGGCAAAGGAACCCTTATGCATGAGCACCTGCGCCTGTTTAGTGGGTTGGTTTGAAGACATCCATGTGTTGGGAGTGGGTGGGTGGGTGGGGGGTTAATCTGAGGGGGTGCCCAACACATGAGTAACGCATGAGCAGAGCTGCTGAGTTGGGCCTTCAGTTTAAAGCTAGTGTTAACTTATTGACATTGTTGAAGTTGTTTAGAAGAATAAAGCGATTCAGTTCTTGTTCAAATCTTGTTTTATCAGCAGTTATGTGAGAGGAGCGCAATCCCAAAGCATGCTAATTTGCAGGATTTTGAAGTGCTTCCACAAACCACAATTTGAGTAGGCTTCCATCTTCCCCTGTTCCTTAGGTAGGTGCCACGTATAGTGGATTTTCTTCAATTAGCCACAGTTGTGAAATGTTTGACATGAGATTTACTTGGGCAGAACAGCAGCAGCCCACAGAAGTGGAGTCCACAGGCCTATAAATCACGCAGGCTTCTAGAGAGGCATTCGCTTGCCTTAGCTTTACACATGCACAGAAATGAAGCCATTGCAGAGTTGCAGTCAGGTATCTAGGCAACGACCTTATCAGAAGAGCAAAAGTAACTTCACAGGGACAGGCTTGAGGAAGAACAAGGCCATAGATTCCTCTATTCGTGTCAGCAAATTCCTCTGCAGCTTCTTCACAGACATCACAGCTCTTTTACAACACCCAACATTGTATTCATGCTTCATTTTACTGCCCGTACACCTTAGGCTATCTAGGGATAAATACAGCAAAACGTTTTCCACCACACAGGGATGACAGTTGTTTTTTAACCGGGAGCCCCACTAAAGCATTTCCCGCTACCCATTCATTCTCTCAGCTTTCAATCACATACAGCATGCATTAAATTGGCTATATTGATGAGCATGGAACCAACTTACGGTTGAATCCCTGCTCCCCTAACAACAAATCTGCTGGTACCATTTTCTTGTGGGTAGTGCTGTTTTGGCTATGTTAAGGCTCCATATTTGCAGAATGACTTCACCGTTAGTCTGCACAGAATGTGGAGGCAATGAGCAGAGAATATTTTCTCTCAGAATACTAGACCATGGGGTCTTCCTATCATAAGAACATCAGATGAGGCCTTGCTGAGGCTGCCCTGTACTTTTATCTCTCTTGAATCTTCCAACCTTTGGATGTCCATGAATTCTGGTGTCACAAGAGGGAGAAAAACTCTCTATCCACTGTCTCCATGAAGGGAAGGCCACCAGCCAGACATGAGTCCGATAGCATTCTGTCACTTCTGCCGTGAAGCTGCCGCAGATCTAAAATACTAAAGAGAATGGAAACTTCTGACAGGAAGTTTGCTTCACACTGCCCATATACAGTGGAGAACTTTATGGACATCATGCCTTGTTGCACATGTTTCCTTAACAACAAAGTAGTCTCCAAAAAGAGGAAGAAGCCTTTTAATAGGACTTCTATCTTCCTCTCTCCAGCTTTTCAAACCAACCGCAGTGTGATATAATATGGAACGTGCACCTGAGTTATCAAGTTGTTTGTGCAAATCAACAGTAGGTGATGCTGTCGGCTGCAAAGAACACACACCGAGGAAACTTTATTACGCCTAAGAAGAATGAACTTGCCCTTTTCTTCCAGTACTCAGGCAGATGAGTTCTTGAGGTCCTCATCTGCTCTGATAGTAAATAATCCTTAGATGAGTCATTTGAAAATAGACAAATGCCCATTTGTTTCAATTCAGCCAGCAAATGGTATCCCACAATTGGGTCATGCAAGATAAGGCTTTGTATTCTGTTTGATTTAATTTGCATTACTGCTGGCATCCTGAACACCACTGAGTGGAACAGCAGGGGCCCATAAATAAATACCATAGTTAACACAAAAGCCAATCAACCAGTTGAAAGCCTAGCATGATGTCGTGAGCCTGTGGCACAGCTCATATAGGTTGGCACACTTAAGGTCTAAACTCCAGTTGCTATTAGCCATGTGTTTCAGCAAGCGTGCTTAATCTGGCTACTTTTGTTTTGGAGCAAAAGCAGTCACAGGGCCCAAGTCTGGAACACATTCCTGAGCCGAACTGGGACCTTGAACAAATCTGCTGAAACTCTCCTTCCCTCCCAGCTGTTTTTCCTGTCCTCCCCCCAAAAGAAATTTGTTTGCTTCTGCTTTAAAACGAAACATCCAGAATAAGCATGTGACTAACGTCATGAATTTGACCTGAAAGATGGGGCCGCTTTTGCAAACTTTGAAGCCCCAAATTTCAATAGCAGCAGCCACTCATATAATCTGGGAGAGGTTTTTTTAAGGCCTGGGAAACTAAGAAATTCGTGTGCCAAGAGGAATGTAGGCCCAGGACAAGCCACTCTTGGCAGGCAATTATAGAGTTGCAGCACCTCAGTTCAGTGAGGGCATCTGATGAAGAATCTCCAACAATCTCAGGAAAAGGGCAGGCTGATGCAGAGATAGACAGTACTCCCAAGCTCCTCCCTGAAAAGTGTCAATGTTGAAATAATATACGTGGGTTAGTGGGTGCAGCACATGGCATCCACATGGCATTTCTGAGAACAGTCCTTTTCCTTTGAAGCCAGGTCACCTGTACTCATTTCTCAGGGTGGAGCAGCTCTTCTTCAAAGGAATTTTAAACCACTGCTCTAGGTATTTTAGAGGCGGGGAGACATGTTGGCTTGGCATGACTAATCGCTAAAAAAATGCAATGCCAGCTTTGCTATGAGGCTATGGACTGACAAGATTGGGAGCTCCTTATCTTTTGATCGTGAGCCCCACTAGTCTGGCTGTGCTTCGTATTTCGGGATAAGAGCTCTCACCCAAAGGCTTTGGCTGTCTGCCATGCTTTCCTTGGACTGTCCCTTGCATTAAAACTACCCAGAGCATATACATGTAACAGGAGCCATGTCTCACCAAGGAGATGTGAGGAACTGGTGGCCCTCCATATGCTGTTATTGGACTCCAACTCTCATCAGCCCCAGCCAGGATGGTCAATAGGGATGATAGGAGCTGTAGTCTGGCAATATATGGAGGGCCACACGTTACCTGTTTAGGGAAGTTTTTAATATTTAATGCTGTACTGTTTGATTGGGAGCCGCCCAAAGTGGCTGGGGAGATTCAGCCAGATGGGTGGGGTATAAATAATAAATTTATTATTATTATTATTATTATTATTATTATTATTATTATTATTACCCGTCCATGATGTATACTGTTTTGAGCAAATTGCAGGCAGTACAGGCCACAAACATTTGAGCAAAGGGCCACATTGATCCAGGGATAAGCTGGGGGACGACGACTGGGGGCATGTCAAAGTATAAACTAGGGCATGGCCAACTTAGCCTTTTAAAAATAAAGGTTGTTGAGGGTTAGGTGACACAAAAAGCTTATTATGGAATCACAGCAGGGGAACAGTCAGTAAAAAAAAATCGAGAGGAAAATTTTGGGGACCCACAAACAATCCTTTGGTATCATAGAATTACCTATTGGGGGCTGTCATTAAACAAAATTTAAAAATAGGAAGAAAATATTGGGGCAGGGGACTTATCAGAGTGAATAAAAATGTTTTTAAGCCTTCAAATGGAAAATGTTTGGTGGGCCTTGGTGGGCCATCACAGTGGGGGGAACCATAAAACCAGTATGGGGATATGGGGGGGTGGGGGGAAGGAAGCATAGGGCAGTTGTTGTTTTTCTAAAAAGGAATGACAAAATTTTGTAAGGGCACAAAAAAATATCTTGGGCGTCTGGCTATATAAACGGTGTGGCTTATAATTAACAAGGCTTGCAGCTTGCATGTGAGGTATAAAGTCTCAATACATATGAATCCACACACACCAACTTTCCTTGCACCGAGAGTGAGCTTGGATCGAGTTTTCAGAAAGCAGAAATAGAACAAGGTTTTTTTTTATACAGAAAATAAAGACTTTATTTTTCCAGTTCACAAGGACAGTTCCCATTACACAGAACATGATGCTTGAGGAAACCTACAGCCGTTAATGCCTTCTAATCATAACCATAAGCACAGCTGATGCCAATTCTGGACACCTGCAAGACTCCGAGGGTGAATCAGCATTTCTAATCTACACCAGCGCATGCAGCTGCCTCTGGTGCTTGGTGGCATTCAGACTGCAATGGAAACACAGGCAGAGTTGGAGCTGAGAACGCAAGACTCCCAAGCTCCCTGCAGGGACGTAAAGGATGCGGAGAGCCCACGATTCCATTAGAAGGGAACTGGCTGGTGCTTGAATGCTAAACAGTGGGAAAGAGTAGGAAGGGGCGAGGAGCCAGTTTCCAAATACTGTATGAAGACCCAAGAGAAACGCAGCCAGTGAGTTCAATGATAACAAGAGCCAGGACAATCTTTATTAACGTTAACACAGAAAATGTACCATCCCCTGAGTGGGTTAGGAAACATCAGAGAGGACACTATATAAATATTGGTATCTGATGCAAAAACAAAGCTTCACACACGTCAGCTAAAGGTCTTCTGAAATCTTGAAGGCGTTCGAAACAGTTTCGCCAGGTTAAACAAAACTCAGGGCAACAACGGTCAGTTTCCTGGTGGCTTAACAAATCCCTGCCCGCTACGCTTTCTGCAAACACTTAAAAGAAACAAAAAAAACTAGGTTAATTTAAATGGGGGCCGGGCAAGGTATTCCTCTACAGTTGCTGACATATCCAAGAGTTGCAATGGAAGTTAAGGCACAGAGTTGATTCCAAAGTCAAGCACAGCCCACACCAATACAGTAGGAGATGTCTCAGGAGTGGCTGCTCAGCTAGTGACCTTTCTGGCCTTCGCAAAGGAGTTAAAAATTCACAGAAAGCTGGAATTACTTCCTTTCTGAGGGAGTGGGATGCATTTTCATCCCAAAGAATACTGTTATGTTGCCTTCTGTGAGCTTGCGATAAACGTCAGGAAACAGCAGCTTTCTGGCACCCTGTACGGCTTTCTCTGTGGTGCAGAATCTACCCATCTAGTATACACTATGTTCCCGCAGGGAAAGAAAACAGAATGCTGCCTACCTAGCAAGAAGAACTTATTCTCCACCTGCTGGTATGAATGGAACTATGAGTCCCTACAGTTCCTGCCTTACTACTTAAGGAGTATGCAGATAAAGCACTGTCGGGTGGGTGATCAGCAGTAGGTACTGCATGGTACCAAAGGCAATGGGGACTTTTCTTGGGACATGAGAGTCTTTGACTGGGACTAAAAAATAAAATGCATCTGCACCTGTCAAAGCCAGAAGCAATGAGCTTGGCAGGGTCCCTAGCTTCAGCAACCCATTTTGGAATTCTGAATATTAAGTGGCATATAGTTGAAATAAAAATAATGAAATAATTTGTTGGGAGGTTCCCCCTTGAAACTTTCGGGGGTTTCCACCCCTATAGTCATTAGCATTTTGAATTTTCTGCTCTGCAAGTGAGCACAGGTGTCCCTACTTCCCTTTCACTAAGCCAGTGCTTGACCCTGACACTATGGTAACTATCTCCTATTCTGAATTAAAGAGAAGATTCACAGACCTGCAAGTTGCCAGACACTCCATTCTGCCTAACTCCCTGCACCACAAAAAAATTACAAAGAGGCAGCACGTTTGATGCAAAATGAGGAGGCTACAGTTCCTGCCAAGCTGGAATATTGCGTGCAAATTTGGCAGATCACACTAAAGTATTTGCAAAGGAGGTGTTTTCCTAGCTGGATTTTCTCTGCTGGCTGGGCAGCTCCTATCATTTCACACTGTGCTGCCTCTTAAGAAATCTTGCTTCTGCTTATGCAAGTCAGCTGTCAAAAAGAAGGAAGAAATGGTGTTTTTCCCTTTTCTGTCACTCAGGTAATCTGACCTCACCTGCACCTAAATGTCATGCTGCTGCTCAGGAGTGGAGAGACAGAGAGACAGATTCTTCAGAAGTACTGGCCCCAGCCACCCCTTCTTGGCGTCAGGCACTGAGCGGATGGCTGCCTATAATCAGTACCCCAGCAGACACTGGAAGAACTTCCACCACCCTCTCAACACAAAGAATTGTTTTGTGGCCTTTCCATGAAAATCTACAGCCCTTTCTGGCTTTGCAGGAAGGGAAATGTTTCTGGACCCTTTTCTGTAAAAAAATAAACAATCAGTTCACTTCTCTTTATGTTCTGAAAGCTCGAGAGAGAGGCCTGGAGGTGACAAAGTACTCTACAAAAAAACAAAAAACAAAAACCACAACCCACTGCTTTTTTTTCTTTCCTTTTTTTAAGAAAATGCATAATATTATACCATCAAAGGTTGCACAGTGGGTTAGGTCTGTACTGCTGGAGATTCCTAGCCAGGATGCTCTGTTTTGGGTCTCCTCCTCAAATTCCCTTTGCCCAAACGCAGACAGCAGTGAAAGGCTTGGGTGGCTCTCCTGGGAAAAACGACGCTGTGGCGCCTCCTACTGTACACTTCCGTTAGCTACATTGCTTTGTCTGGATGAAAAAGGAAGTCCCCAAGTCTGCTCTTGCCAAGATGGGGCTGTCGGGAGCTGTGCCGGACTGCCTGCTGCTCAGCTCCTCACAGAAAGTCCAGTTCGAGGGCCTGGTGGAGCGACACCAGATCGGCGTGATTTGTGATTCTCCAGAAGGGCATGTTGTGCTGCAAAACAAAAGAGGTGGAGGGGTGTTAAGAAACAAGCACATAAGCAACTTGTGCAGCAGGAATGGAAGTCAGTGCTCTGCAGGAGATGAGTGAACGCAGGCCTCACCCGTGAGGAAATGAAAAAAGAGTCAGGAAGGGTTCACAGGCAACCAGCCAATGTTGCTATTTTCAGAAGCAGAAGCACGCAGTTGACAGCAGTCGCTAAAGTACAGCTAGGCCACCCTACCTAGTGAGGGTGAGGCTTTCCCTGGGAGCAGGTTCAAAATCCCCTTTGACACTGAGGTCCAGCTCTGAGGGCCTTCTGGTGGTTCCCTCACTGCGAAAAGTGAGGTTGCAGGGAACCAGGCACAGGGCCTTCTCGGTAGTGGCGCCTGCCCTGTGGAACGCACTCTCATCAGATGTCAAAGAGATAAACAACTATTTGACTTTTAGAAGACATCTGAAGGCAGCCCTGTTTAGGGAAGATTTAAATGTTTTATGTTTTATCCTGTTTTTAATATTTTGTTGGGAGCTGCCCAGAGTGGCTGGGGAAACCCAGCCAGATGGGGAGGGCATTATTTTTATATATATATATATATATATATATATATATATATATATATATATATATAAAATTGTTATTATTATTATTATCATCATCTGTGGAGCCATCCTCCTGCCTTCTGAAGATCATTTGGATATGCTGGGTCATCCACAGACACCCCAGGCAAGCTCCAACACACTGAGAAATGAAATATACACAACAAAAAAGGGGGCAAAGGACACCCACGGATGCTATGGCTGTGTTGTCTCTAAGGCAAACAGGCTCTGGCCATTTGGCGGTGCCTGCAGGAGGAAGGGAGGCAATGGATTATTATTGGGGTGCAAAAAGGGAGCCGGCTCTTCTCAGGAAGGGTGCTGCAAGAGAAACGTAGTCAACAGTCACCTGTTTGGCTGCCATCTCTTCATCACGCCCATCTCCAATCACCACATATGTCACCTTCTTCCCAAACCGAGAGATAATCCTTTCAAAACAGCTCTCTTTACCTGTCAAGAGATTACAAACACACTGTTGCTTATGGTCAAAGGAAAGGTACAGGCCCCAGTGGGGTTGGCGTCAGTATGTGGTACCTGTGGGCAGCTGTTGGGGCCCCAGCACCATGGCAGGGCTCGCTCTTCCCTTGAACCCTGATCCTTGCCTGCAGGGCCTCTCCAACAGCTTTGCTGAAAGGCTCAGCAACCTTTGGCTCTTCTCCAAATTGTTTCCATTCCTGCTGTTCACTACAAGATTTCTGTAATTTAGAATGCCTGAGCTTGCTTTTTTCCTATTCCCTCCCAGTTCTTTTTCTTTTTGCATTGTGTCTCTTAGTGAACTGGGGCAGGGGCTGTCTTCTCACTGATTTTTGTAAGCCATTCTGGAAGCCCCATTTGGTGGAAGGGCAGGATAAAAATGCCAAAACTACTACTACTACTACTACTGACCTTTGCAACATTGTAAGACACTTAGAGAACTTGTTTAAGAAATAAACAGAAATAAATAAATAAATAAATAAATAAATTATATAGCTGATAGGAGTGCTAAAGCCCAGTTTACCCACCCACTATAGAGACTGCAACAGTACAGTGGTACCTCTGGATACGAACGGGATCCGTTCTGGAGCCCCATTCGCATCCTGAAGCGAATGAAACCCGTGTCTGCACCTGCGGGGTTGCGATTTGCTGCTTCTGTGCATGACGTCATTTTGACCGTCTGCGCATGCGCAAGTGGCAAAACCCAGAAGTTGCACGTTCCATTACTTCCAGGTTGCCGTGGAGCACAACCCGGAAACGCTCAACCTGAAGCAACTTCAACCCGAGGTATGACTGTATCTGAGAGCACAGCTTTGCTCCAAATGGCTTTGAGCCAACAAAGGTCTTTTAAGGAGTCATGCAGAAAGTGGAACATGTGCTATGGGGTTGCTTTACGCACTGAAGTCTCCCCCTCTTTCCAGGGGAGGTTGTACAAACCCAGGTTGTACAAAAGGGCCGACTCCCTACCGCCACCCAAGACAACTGCCAAAGAGAGCTGGAATTTGATGTCACCACCTACCTATTTTTGTTGCGCTATAAATATTTTCAATTGGGAACACGTCACCTAATCCATACAGCAGAACTTTGGCCAGAGCCGGCACCAGCTGAGTAGTCGTTATCAGAACATTCACACAATTCTTTCTAGAAGGTGGCAAGAGAAATGGGTCAGGGTGAGGAGCTTGCTTATACAAAGTCGAAAAAAAAGTGGGATGCTGCCGGCCTCATATTTGCAAGCACTAATGGAAGGAACAAGAAATGACATGAAACTCAAGACTGGATCCTCCCCTTTTATGCATTACAGTATTTGTTATTCTTTGTACCGCTCATCCATATTTCAAATGACCCTTGCTCTCTGGGGCTGACATTTGCAATGGTTCAGTGTTAAGGGTGGTCTTGGCTTCCAGTTATTCAAATGGTGATATTGTGAAGCAGCAAATTAATTGCATAGAGTTTGCCTGATAATGCACTACAGATCCATTCGAAACAATTAAATTAAGCACATAAAAAGGCAAGAGATAAAATCATGTTTAATATCTAGATGGGTATATCCAGTGCTTTTTTTCAGGGGGTACTTAGGGGTATGCAGTACCTCTTTTGTTGTTAAAAAGTGTGGTACTTACTCTAACAACTTCATAGGTGAGTACTGGCTCCTATTTTTCCAGAAAAAAGCACTGGTATATCTATATGTGCGTCTCTCTATCTAGCTAAATCTAAATATGTGTGTGGTGTATTTCTTTTAAATTTTTATATACCAGTTTCACTTGATCTCAGGGTAGTGCCATGTAAAAATTCAATAAAAAAGTGAACACAATCAAACTACAGCAGAAGAACAGCAGAAGAATGCAGAGTTCAATCTCAATCAGCCAGCATATCTAAATAGTGCCTGGCTGTACAACACACAGGCTTTATTGGGCACTTGAAGGGTAACAAAAGAAGACAGCGGCTGAGCCTCCTTGGGAAGGGACCTACATAAGCAGGGCACACAACTGAAATTGCCCTCCTTTGCTTCTGATGACAGGGCAACTGGCAAGAGGTATCAGCAGATTGCATTATTAAACATGTAATGGGAAGCAGCTTGCTGGGTGGCGGCGGCAGAGCCAATCCAGTTCTGCTGCTGGTGCTTTTGCACTGTGCTAATCACCCCCCCACCGCACCCCCCTCTCCTCCTGTGTAAGCAAATGACCCACCCAGGGGCATACAAAGTGGGGGGTGGAGGGGTTGGTCGCCCCGGGTGCCACTCTGGGGGGGTGTGACAAGATGGCCCCTGCCTCCTCACAGCTGTAGAGCCGCTGTGGGTGCGTGCAGTCCATACAGGCTGCCTCTCACACAGCGACCATACGGGCTGCCGCACGTGCACAGTCCGTATGGGATGCCGCACATGTACAGTCTGTACGGGATGTCGCTCGCGCAGCAGCCTGTACAGAGTGCACACACGTGGGATGCTGCACATGTGCACTCTATATGGACTGCCCTACCCCGGGTGCCGGAGAGGGTTCCTCCGCCATTGGACCCACCCATCAGGAAGCAAGTGTAGTGACGCCGTTTTACTCAGTGAGCTGCTTCTGCATGTAATATAATATTGTGTGCATGTAGCTTGTACTATGATCAATAAAAAAAATCTGACAATTGCATATTTCCTGTACATTTTAATGAGATGCAAATTATCCTGTTTCTCTTGCCCACCTCCCCTGGCCTTTACGTTTTTGATTGGATGAAAGGCAATGCAGCCGTGTGTTTGGGTACCAAGGCACAAGGATCTCCACTAAAACATTGTAGTTGCATCACAATTCAGACCATATATTTCTACCCAATAGTGTATGAGACACATCACTATAAAAAATGTATAGCATGCACCACATTGCACTAGAGCTGTAAATATGGCAGCTGGCAGAGCAGACACTTATCCCCATACCTTGACTGGATGAGCAGCAGGGACTTTAACGCTGTTCCCAACCAGGAATCTGTTAACATTTCTATGTCTTCCCTTAATCTCTGCAAAGCCTCCTTCTTTTCTGGGCTGAGAAGGGCTGCAGAATGCACACAAATTGGTCAGAAAGCAGAAACATAAGTATATCAAGTAATGGGTTGTAGCCAAACTAAGTTCTGCTCAGAGAAGACCCACTGAAATTAATGGACCTAAGTTAGCCATTAATTTAAATAGATCTGAGGATGACTCACATTGGATACAACCCTATGTTATTGGTGCAATCAGAGCAAGGGCCCAACTTTGTGATTTCTGGATTCACTTCATTTGGAATTGTTTCAATACAGAAATAACATTATGAAAATGTCAAGTGAAACATTTTCAACCCCAACATTTATTCATTTTGGAATTTATAGGTTGCTTTTCTGTGCTCCAGATGGTTTGCAAATGGTTACATATAAAACATTCCACATTGCACAAAAACAATCTTGCTCTCCATTAATGGAACTCATTTTTGAATTGGCCTCTCACAGATACATTTATGCTAAAATACAGTGATAAATAACCTATTGTAAAAAGGTGAAAGATCTCTGAGTAATCTGTTTTAAGAAAAACCCTCTTCACCAATGTGGGAATAGGTACTTATTTTATAAAACAGAGGATTTCACAGACATGGATTAGTTATCTCTTTTGCCTTCAATATGTCTTTCAATCTAGACAATTCAGATATCAAACTGTTAAGACAACCCAGTTTATCCAGTCTGGACAAAATGCTAAGCCACAGTTTAGCATTATGAGGATGAGCTGCTGCAAGCCTCGGGCCTTCATGTGCATGGCTACAAGAAATCTAGAATCTTTCCCTGATGTTTTAGATTAATCACAGCGTCCTATGTTGTCCAAACTTAACAAACTGAGGTTAATTTTAACTATTGTTTGTTGAAAGAAGCCTCCTTCAAACCATATTTTTAAGGGCCAGATCAGTTTAGCAAACCACAGATAAAATTAATCATTCAGAGTTTAGTGTTTGGATGACATACTAAACTGTGGTTAATCAAAAACAGAAGCCCTGCAAAAGCTATGAGAGGCTACTATATGTGGTGCCAATGTAAAATCATTTAAAAGGCCTGGGAAATGACATATAAAGACTTGAAGAGAATTTTGAAAATGATTTTTGTTTAAAAAAAACCTGAAGCTATAACGTTGAGATGTACAGGACTTGATGGACTTATAGAGTGAAAGACTTTGCCCCTGTATTTGAGAGTGGATGCTAGGCCAGTATCAGCCCACCCCCAAAGAAGATAAAAGAAGATTGGTAAAATAACTTAGTGAACTATGCAGGACAAACTGGATAATTTGAAACCCAAGAAAGAAAGAGAACTTCGATTTTTTTTAAAAAGGGAAATGTTTAATGCATTTTTTTTAAAGTTTTGTGTATAGATTTCTACATTAGTTGAACTTTTAAAAGTCACTTGCAATAAGATGCATAAGGTTTTAAAATTGGACTGTTAAGAATATAAGGCTTTATGGACATGCATGAATAAGCACAAAACAATGGAACCATGAGGGGGAGCGGAGGGAAGTATGGTGATATTATGGTTTGTATATACAGATGAGCTAAAAATTGTGGTTTGAATTTTTTTTAATGATTTTTTGTTATTATAAAATTAATAAATTGCATTAAAAAAACAAAAAAACAGAAGCCTTCGAGTGGTGGAATGCAAGTCCCAGGCTCAGTGCAACTTTTCCTCATAACAGTAACCCCCCCCCTTGGCATTACGTGTGAACCAACCCAGTTACTACAATGCTGGCATAGTCTTAAAAGACAGAAAAAAGAAACTGCCTCACTCCAATTTTCAGGGTTGGTTGGCTGATTGTGGCCCCACCTCTCCAACACGGAAGAGCTTAATAATGTTAGAACTCTACCCCTGCAGCCTAGTTCCTATACCCTCAGGTTGCAGCAGGAACAGGGATGCTGCTCACACTCACCTGCTACGTTGCTTTTGTATTTGTCATAGACCTCGCGCACCTTCCGATAGCGGAAAGCCAGCTTCCTCATCCAATCCACTCCACCCTGGACTCCCGCTGAACCATGATTGGCGTTGTTTCCTGAGCCACTGAAGCCATCCGTGGAAAAATTGTAGTTGCTGAGACAGAAAATGTTGTATTTGTATTACACCTACTGGCAACTTCTACCTGGATCATTGTTAGGTGACTCAAGTCCTGTTGCATAACCCACAGCAGATCTCCCTGCACATGAAAATCCTCAGCTCCATTCCCTGCTGATCTGCTGCTCAGAAGCCTGAATACCAGTTCTAATTAGACTTTCATGTATTGAGGGTCTGATCACTTTATCATTATCACCAGATCAGGGCAGGTCCGCCCTGAGATCTACAGGCATAGGGCGGTATACAAATTTAATAAATAAATAAACATGGGCTCAGTTTCCTCTTGAATCTTAAGTCCCGACAGCTGGGGGAAATGTGGAGTTCTTCATGGACAGGTTACCCTGGAATCTCTGTTAGCAAGTATTGTTTCTTGAGCTGCTTTCACAAATGCCCCTATTCGAGAGGTCTATAAAGGAGAGACAGCAGCTCAGTGGTAGAGCTGATGTTATGCATGCAGTTCCAGTTCTAATACTTGGTGCCTCCAGTTTTAAAAAAATCTCAGGTTGCAGGTGGAGGAGGCAGGGGGGCCAGGAAGTCATTGTGACTGCTTCCTAGGTAGGGTGGACAAAACGTCACCTGTTTGAAAGTCCCATAAAAACACTGTAAGGGGTCCTTTCTGTTGCCACATTTTAGACCTTGGAAGCAACCAATACAAATGTTATCACCTTAAATCTTGCCCATTGTCATCTGATGCAACGTCTTCTACATGAACTTGGTCACACTCCTGCAATAAGAGAAAATTAAGTTTAGGAAGCTCCCTTACACCAAGTTGCAAGGGGTTGGACTAGATGGTGCTTGGGTTCCCTTCAAACTCTACAATTCTGTGATTCTAAGACAGACTATGTGTCCATCCAGCCCAGTTATGGTCTGCCCTGTGAGTACGGAACTTGCCACTCTCCTAATGCTGCTAGACCTTCAACTCCAAGCAGCCTTAGCCAGAATAGCTAGCAGCAGGGCATGATAGGAAGTGTAGTCCAGTAACCTTTGGAAAGTTCATGCATTAAAACTGGAGTTTGGAAGAGAACACATACCTCTAAGTCATTGAAAAATAAGTGTGTGTCGGCGACTTCAAAAATCATTTCTTCCATGGTCAAACCAGAGCTAATCACTAGAGTTGGATCCTAGAAGTTAGAATGGAAAAGAGGAAGAGGCCAGTATTAAACTGCATTGAAGTAAAATGAGCTATTTTAGAACATGAAGCTCATTCTACAAGGTGTGACCGGAAAATTCGGTAAATGGTGACAGAAATTGGAAAGCGAGAAATATCTGAACATACAATTGGCATCGGAAACCCACAAAATGCGTGAGCAGATTGTGTACAGAGATGAAGCTATAACTCAAAAGACAGTGTATGAGTGGTTTAAGTGTTTTCATGAAGGGTGGCAAGCTATTGAAGAGGACCCTCAGTCTGGCAGACCATCAACTAGCAGAACAGCGGCAAATGTCAACGGAGTTCGTGAGTTATTGATGCGGGATCAGCGTTTGTCCATCCGAATGATGGCGGAAGAATTGCATATTCAGCATGAAATCGTTACTGAGGTTACTGAGTTGTCCCACCCTCAATATTCTCTTGATCTGGCCCTACCGGATTTCTTTCTTTTCCCAAAACTGAAATCTGCACTGAAATGGTGCAGATTTTCCAACATTTCACACATCCAAGCTGCTGTGACTAGGGAACTGAAAGCAGTATGAAAAGAGGACTTCTCCAGTTCTATGAACGTTGTCAACGGTGCATTGTATCAGAGGGGGCCTACTTTGAAGGCCTGTAAGGTATGTATGTTCAAATATTTTTCGCTGTCTGATTTCTGTAACCATTCACCGAACTTTCCAGTCACACCTTGTATGTAGAGCTGTCACTCAATGAAAGATACCCTACAGTGCACTCTTATGCATGTCAGAAGTAAATCCCAGCGAGTTCAATGGGACTTACTCCCAGGTCTATGGGACTGCAGCTATAGGCTTACTTAGGAGTAAGGCCAGGTCTGAAGCAAGGAAACCAAAAAGGAGAGAGAATGAGAGTGTGGATCTAAGGACATCCCATCTCTGTAACAGGGCCAGATAAAAAGTTTCTCATATTTCCTTCTGAGCACTATCCCTGATTCACTGCTACTAGAGTGCACACTTACTAGATTTGCAATTAGTATTTATTAGCTCAGAGCAAAGATCAAACAATTCAGAAGTTTTGAGGTAAAGGCAAAAACACTAGTTACCTTCCCGTATTTCTGGGCATATGATCCTGTTAGAAGAGAATGAAATATTATGATGGTCTCATCCAAGTCCCATAGGAACACTCGCTGAAGAAGAAAGGACAAACAGCAGAGGTTAGCTTGCTTTTGTTCAACTGCCTAGAAAGTCCCCCCACCTCCATTTTGGAAGCTTAAAGAGGACATCATAGATTAAGTCTGCTTTTGAAAAAATATTAAATGTAGCCAAGGGAAGATCACCCAATGAAGCTCTACAATAGGAGATTCAGCAGAGTCAAAAGGAAGTCCTTCACACAACACATACACTATGGACTTACTTGCCACAAGGTAAAATATTTGCTACCACCTTGGACACCTTTAAAATGGGATTGGACAAAGTCATGAAGAATAAGGCCACTAGTCATGATGGCTATGTATTACATCCAGTTTCAGAGATAGCATGGCTCTGAATACCAGTAGCTGGGGAAGACTTGTTGGAGAGGGCTATTGTGCTCATGTCCTGCTTGGGGGCAAATGGTTGGCCTTTGAGAGAACAGTATTCGGAACTAGACAGGCCTTTGATCCAAATCAGCAGGGCTTTTCTTATGTCCCTAGGAGGGTTTTGCATCTTCTGTGCAGGAATGATGATCGATGACACTGCATCATGAATGTATAAATATGTTTATTAAGAGACACTGTCAAAGACTCTGGGGCTTGAAGTCAGAGGCTGAGGCCTACCACAGTAAACCACTGTGAGCTGGGGTATGACCAAGTTACAAAGCTCTTTTCAGTTGCAGAAGGTAACGTGTGGGCAGCATCAGCTCCTCTGATGGGCAGGCAGAATGCCTCTTTTCAATTGGCTAAAAAGTAGACGCCTGCCCTCTGCCTGTGCTTGGTCAGCAGAGTACCTTTACTGGGAGGTTTCTTTCATCACCACAGAGGACTTCCAAGTCCTTCTAGGGCTGCCATTTTGAAGTGGGATGAGTCTATAAGTAACTTACTAAGCAGACAAGATAAAACCACACATTTTGTATTGGCAGTAATTCAGTTTTACATACTTCCATTTACATTTGTACAACTTCTATTTTATTTCATTTTAGCCATTTCAGTATTTGTTAGAGTAAGAATCACTTCTTTTTAAAGGGGCAAGGTGTGATTTGCCAAGGAATTTCAGCATTCTAAGTTTGTTTATGTTGTAGTTTAGTTGTGTCCAACTAATCTATTCTGTCTTACTTTTATATTGTTAAACTTTGCTTTGCAATAGTCTATAGACTAGAAACACAGAAGTTTGATCTGATCTACAATACGAAACACACTGTTAAAGCTTTGGGGAGAGGGAGGGAGAGGGGGAGGGAGGGGAGGGAGGGAGAGAGGGAGAGGGGGAGAGAGAGAGAGAGAGAGAGAGAGAGAGAGAGAGAGAGAGAGAGATGTGTGATAATAGCTGGAGACTAACTTCAAGCTCATTGTCCTGTGGTGAAGAAGCGTCTGCTTTCCTCTTCCCCCTGTTTTTCCCAGTCACGCTTTTCCTGGACTGGTCCTCTACATCTTTACTTGCTGTCGCTCTCAGCAACGATGGACTTGTAGATGGGTCTCCTGGAAAAAAGGGACAGCACAGACTCGTTATTTTATGCCTCAATATACCAACCCTCAATACATTGCATTTCTACAGCAGCTGGTATAACACAAAGAATAGAACAAAATGCAGAGTAATAAACATGGCACCCAAAACAACAAAGGAGGCAGCAGTATAACACACCTGGGAGTGAGAAACATTTGCAGGTGATACGAAACATAAATGAGTTTTAAAAAATCACAGTAGGCACCAGACCAGTATCCCAAATGTGAATCTCTCCCCACCCGCCACATTTCAAATGGTGGAGAAACCAGCTAGAAGATGGTCTTTGTGTTAGTATTTCACGCCTCCGATGCTGCAGAAGAGATTGGTGTAAATCACATGCCTGTCTGGGAAGAGTGTGGGAATGGAAGACAGTCTTATCTCTTCCACTGTATGTACTATGTACTGTACTTTTGCTTTTACTTCTGTCTGTTCTTTTCTCAGAGCTGGAGAGAGAAGACGCCATGAATCCTTTGTCTGTACATAGTGTGTAAATAAATATGTAGATTAGCTCTACGATGTCTCACGCTTCTTGCTGTGTTATGCCAGAAGATTAGTGTGCATATATCATTTAATATACGTTGCTGAAGTGCACTGGTGTATGAAGGGAAATGCATTTTCCAGAGCTGCGCATACCGGAGGAAGCTCAGAGTTCGGGGGCTGCAGGGGCACCCCAGGGCGTTTTCCAACACTTTGAAGGTGGCCTAAGTGTTCAGGCAGGTTGAGGTGAGATAGGTATTCCTTCAAGTATCTGGGTTTCAATCTGTGTAGGCCTTTAGCATAAGACTTAATTCATACTCTGGGTCCCCCTTAATTGGGGAGCAATTCTGTGTGTCTCTGGCACATCTGGATGGCAATTCATTGGCTACTTGATGGAAGATGTGCAGACGGCCACTCACTTGGATGGCTTTAAAAGGGGACTAGATGAATTTGTGGAGGAGGAGGTGACCAATGCCTACAAGTCATGGTGTCTATATGCTGCCCCAAGAATCAGAGGCGGCATGCCTTTGAATTACCAGCTCCTGGGTTCCGCAAGCAGAATAATGATTTGCCCTTATGCTCTGCTTATGTGCTTTCCATGGACGCTTGGCTTTCCATGGACTAGATGCACTGCAAGGAGTTGGACTAGATGACCCTTGGGGTCCTTTCCACCTCTACAATTCTATAATTGTATGAAGAACATGTATGCCACCTTGTATACCTTGGGGGAAAGGTGTGATCTGCAAACAATTAAAAAATAAAGTGGAAGTTGAGACCTTTTGGGACTGAGGGTTGGGGCAGAAGGCAATCAGTAGAATAGCAAAAAATAATTTCCCAGGGATAAAAACAAAGTGCATTAACCAGACCAAGGTGCAGTGAGACACAGCTTATTGTATAGGTGAGTCCCCCACCCCTTCACCCCAATATGTACACGCACAAGCATTTCCATACAAGCAGCATGAGCATATAGGGGCATTCTGACATCGGTATCCTTTCCCCATCATATTACCAGAGGAATGTCTCTGCGCCGTCTGAGTAGGCACCATGGCATTTGGTTTTTCAGAAGGATACGTGGTTGTTGCTAAGGTGGGACTCTCTGTGCTGCTGTCTGCTGGTGCTACAACTCCAAAGCTTGAACTTGAGTAATATGGCTGGTATTGACTTTGGCCAAGAATTGTATACGTAGGATACTCCTATTCAAAAATAAGAGGGAAAGGGGAAACAAAACAAAGTAAGTCTTATTCCAAGTAAACATGGCTTACTATTGCACTCTTAGCATTCAAGCATACAGTCTGAAAAATAATAAAAAGCTTTCTACCATGCAAAAACGAAAAGCATGGAGTAAAATTAAGTAAGAGCTGTTCGACAGTGGAATTTGCTGCCAAGGAGTGTGGTGGAGTCTCCTTCTTTGGAGGTCTTTAAGCAGAGGCTTGACAACCATATGCCAGGAGTGCTCTGATGGTGTTTCCTGCTTGGCAGGGGGTTGGACTCGATGGCCCTTGTGGTCTATTCCAACTCTATGATTCTATGATTCTAACTTTGATGCAGGCTTATTACTATGGGAGGAAACCATACCTGTTGAGAGATGCTGGCTACTGCTGATGCTGAAATATTGACAGCAGGTGAGGTGGTGGAAACTGAGTTGGCGTTGGTACTTGAAGCTGTAAAAATCAAACAGATGGCTATGTGTCAATCTGTTAGAAGTGCAAGCAGCAAAGCCAAAGGGCATTGGAGCAGGGAAACTGCAGTGCTGGCATTCTTAGCATCAACTGTGCTTTCCTTAATCAAAGATGGAGTTTGCAAAGACCCACAGACATCCTTTTCCTAAACAGGATGCAAGTGTCCTCAGTTCTGGAAGCAATGCTTTTAGATTCTGCCAGATAGTAGTAGTTTTTTAATTTTTTTTAAAAATCTACATGAAAAAGATTGTTCCTTCCATACATAAAAGTCGGGAAACTATAACTGCACAATATTACTAACAACAGACTAAGTTATCTGCATTTACCTTTCAGGAAAACCAGTGTGAAAAATTAACCAACATATTGGTTTCAAGTGGTCCCAAGTGTGAATAACACCATCTGGATCCAACCTAATCAATCATCATCTTCATCACCACTATAGAGAACTATGGTGATTGCCAATGGGATTGGAGTCAAAATAAGGCTACTGAAGAACATGCAAGTGATATCAGTGTGCTCCAGGGAACTCAGAGGTTTACAGAAACACAAGTCTTTATAAAAAGAAGCAAAACCAGAAACAGCCCAAGGAGGACTGAGAATACTCAATAGTCACAGAATGTTGTGTCAGCTGGAAAAGAAAAAAGGAAAGGGGCGGGGAGTGGAAAGAAGTACCATAGAGCAGCTTCCTGGCTAGAAATAATAATAATAATAATAATAATAATAAGAATAAGAAGAAGAAGAAGAAGAAGAAGAAGAAGAAGAAGAAGAAGAGAAGTTGTTGATCTTCTTAAAAACTAAGGACAACACATCATTAGGAATGGTGAAGCCGACTGAAATCAAGGGGTTTACGCATGCCTCACTCTATGCTGTATTTAAGCCTGGGTGCTGGGCCTAATAATTGTCCCTTTGCAGGAGAATTTCCATATTAAACAAACTGGCCATGAGCTGAATGTGAGAGGGGGCTCTGTCACATGCCACAGCTGAGCAGCAGCCATATAGAGATGCTCTTAATGGAGTTGAAGCAAACAATTTAATCCCCCAGAGTGAATGACCTACTTCATCAAAGGCAATAGAAAGTTACTTAATTCTAGGAAATCAGCTACATTAGCATCTGAAATCCTTCTGGGAGCTCCTTCCAGCTTGTGTGCCTATTGTTTTATAGTAGACTGTCTGTGTGATAAGCAGAAAGCTCTCAAAGCTAGTTTTTTTCCAGTGGTGCTGTTTTGCAGCTTACAATTCTTAATGCAACTGACAAAAAGAAAAGAAAAAGAAAGGTGCACTTAGGGGTGACAGCATGCTGTTGTTTTCAGTCCAGATCTACCAGCTGCTTGGCTGTGGCTCTCCTTATCTTACTTATGTGACATTGTTCACAGCTTGTTTTTGATCAATAAGCCCGCTGTGCGTCACTAGGACATAAGATCTGGATGAAAAACACCAAATCTATCCCAGCAGTCTGCATTTCCATCTTATGGGCAAGCGGTTAGGTCTGCATTTCTTCCAAGGTCTGCTCAGTGATACCAAAAGTGAGTTTTTGAAATTCATGCACCCATAGTACACACAATGTGCCAGAGTCGAGGTTTGGTTTCTTGTTTTGGAGGCAGCTGCATACTGGTAACCAGAACATTAAGATCACACTCTTCACTGCTGGGGTTTTTTAAATGAACCCAACAAAAACCCTGTGAAATATGAGGATTCACACAAGGCCAGCTGGGTGAATACTAGATGTTTTCGATACAAAACAGAGGTTATTATACTTACCTGAATGTGCTACAAAACTAAGCGTTACTTCAAAATCATATGTAGATAGGCAGTATGATTCTGTTCATTTATAAAAAATCTGGTTAGGGTCAAACTACATTTTACATTAGTTTAAATGCAGGCTTTTGCACACAAATGGCCAGTGTGAGGGGCCCAGTCCAAACGGGTATGGGGGAGCCCTGTGCCTGCCATTTGCAGTGGAAAGAAAAACTCCCATTTACTAGAATGGGAGCACTTTTTCTTATACAAACTGCAGGTGTGGGACCTGCTCCTCCCACCCCCACCAATCCAAATCCAGATCAGGACTATATAAAGGCAAAGAGTTAAAAAAAAATTCCTCTCCCACTCCATGCTAGGGTGCTGATCTGGATCAGGGCCCCCACACTGTGTGTGTGTGTGGGGGGGATACCCTATACTTAAAAGAACAGAGATGTAACTAACGTTAACATGTTCATTGGCTCTTAGCTTTAGTAGTTTGAGACCAGCAGCCCTCTTCCAGCAGAAGAGGAAGGAGGTGGCCAATTTATATTCTAATTGAACTGTCTGGCATGCAACAAACCATGATTCCCAGTCTGAACATAATACTAAGCCAGGGTTCATTGTTTGTTTCCCCCAAACATTTTCAGGGAGGAGCAAAGCAAATTGATGAGTTCATGGTAATACGGAATACTGTGACATGCGAACAAGGTAAGTATTGGGGTGGAGCAGAAACCATCACATGCAAATGTGGATGGAAACAGGTCACTTGCTGCATGTGTAACACTTAAAACAGTTGCATCTAGCAGCTCTAACAACATGGGGAGCTAATCATCTGTAAGTGAAATGAGTGTTAACCATATTCCCACCACAATCTGAGGAAGCAGCAAGTGGCTTAACTTGAGTCAGCCAGATACAGCATGAATGGGCTTTGGGCCCAGATACTCTCTCTTCTTCCTCCTCCCTCCAGAATTTGTTGTTACATCCAAACTGGATAAGCTAAATGTCAACATAAAACAGATGGCCTGCAAACCATGGTTGGAACAGAGTTTCCAATTCTAGTTGAGAGGTAAACTGTGGTTTGCAGCAGTAGCTACAGTCTGTTTAATTCAGAGGCAACAAGATACTATGGTAACTGCAAATCAGGCCATGAAGGAGGGAACTGGAGTGTATATGCCCAAAATAAGCAGCTTGTAGGAGATTCTTCCCTGTCAGAAAGTACTCTAACTGCCAGGTTACCAGGACTGCAGCAGTGTGGGGGAAAAGGACACATCGATCTCTGTCACTAGCTAGGAAAACAAGAGCTATTGAATAGCTATTTCCTTTCTTAATTGTTGCAATCTGCCACAGAGACCATTTGATCAACAGGCGGGGTACAAACCTTTAAAATAAAGAAAGTAATAGTTGCTAGCTCTTAACAGCTAGGCCCCTATGCATTCTGATAGCTTAAGCCCAGTGATATTGGGAAACGAACACAGACATGCTGAACAGTGGCATGCATTTGATTTCTGTAACCCATTCCTCCCTTTCCTCCTGCCTCTGTGAGAGTTTCAGAAGCACGGCAAAGTAAAATTATCCAGTTACAGACAGCGGATCTCGGCAAATCAGTGAAAAAGAAAGGCTAATGGCAAGGTGGGTGGGAGGGAGGGAACCATGACTCACAAAGCACAGAGAAGCATGCACAAAACAAAGACAAAAACGTGCTGGCCTCTTCGCGGTTTCTAGACCGGGTTACAGGGAAGAGGTACGTAGATAAAAAACCATGCTGACCTTTACCTTGAATAGGATAAGAATAATGTGCTGGGCTGGATTGGCTTGTGGTTAACCCTGTAGTGCAGGTAAGAACACTGTGCTGACTTGGAGATGGAGTCTGAATTAAACCACTCTCAGGTTTCATACCTGGCCACAGTGCACCTGAATCAGATAAATTGCACCAGTTACAAACAAAATTGGTGGTGGTCAAGCCAGGCTTCCCACCGAGATCCTTTTTGCCTCCGAGTACAAGTGACAAAACCCATCACCTAAATATGGAAGGTGGTTAATGTGCAAATTTTGAGGCACAAGCCTAGAGAAAACAGCAAAGAGGAAGAAGACGGGGAGAAAAGCTAGCCAAAATTAAAAGAGGGAAAAGAGGTGTGGTAAGGTTAATTTCCAAGCCTTTGCAGGGGAATGTGCTGGCGTTTCTAATGAAACTCTTACTAGACTGATGCTAAGGAGCTGATTGTCACCCTTTCGATTCCTGCACAGCACTACAGGGAGCTGGTTGTGTGGAGGATAATGTTACCAGCATGTGTTTCCGTTCTGAACTGTTTCTGTGGCACACTATCCACAGGAATATTTCACTGACGCATTCAATGATAATTACTGCATGATGCATTTAAGATCAATTACCAAGAATATACATGAGAGATAAGCACAAGAGAACAGCACACACACTTGATGAAATCAATTTGAAAAAAAGGTATTTATTTTGCTCAAACTATCCTCTTGTCACGTACAAGAGCAGCTAGACCCGACTCTCTGCTACTGTGCTCATCTGTAATCTTTTATCTATTGTCAACTATGTTTAAAATGACCCAGATTCAAGGTAACTCTTCATTTGTCAGACCTTCTCAGGTGTGTTGGGTAGAGAGAGAGAGACCACAGGTCAGTATGTGCTTTGCACAGAGAAGATCCCAGGTATAATCCCCAGCATTAAACAGATCAAGTAGCAGTTAATGGGAAAGATCTTTCTCTGGAGAGATCCTGGACAGCCACTGGCCATGATCACATGTGACAATAAGCCAGATAACAATGACCAACATCCCAGGGAATCTGCGAGAATTTCTGAGGCCTAATTTACGAAGCTGGTAAAAGGCACTCCTAGCTACCAGAGACACCTGCACCTCCAGTGACAGAGCTTGATCTAAAAGTACCCCCAGACTATGTACCTGCCCTTGAGGGAGAGTGCAACCTCATCCAGGGCAAACAACTGACTAACTTCCTGGACCCAGGAACTGCTCCCTCACAGAGCTTCCACCTTGCCAGGATTCAAGCTGAGCTTATTGGTCCTGATCAAGCCCAACACTGCATCCAGACACTGGTCCATGGCATTCATAACCACTCCTGATGTTACAGAGAAAGAGAGTTGGCTACCATCAGCATACTGATGACACCTCACTCCTAATAACCTCTCCCAACATCTTAATATAGATTTAAAATAGCACCGAGATACCATAATGCCCCGCAGCAGCCAGGGGCCCAAGAAACACTCATCCAATACTGACTTCTGGAAATAAGGTTAGAACTGCAGAACAGTGCCCCAATACCCAAGGCTGATGGTATCAAAAGCTGATGAGAGATTGGGCAGAAGGATCAGGGACACTTCTCATCCTTTTTCTGATAAAGGTCATCCATCCTGATTCACTCCTAAAGCCAGATCTGAACCCAGACTGGAAGGGGTTTAGATAATTCATAACCTCCATGAATGCCTGAAGGATAAGGTGAAGGCAGCAAAGTACGCTTTTACATCTTTGCTGCTTTCACCACAACCCACACTCCAGATGTCATCTGGCTTGTTTCTTAACAAGCAGTTCTCCAGTATACCAGGAGGCCAAACGCATTCTGCAGCACCAGAGACTGCACTCAGGAGCAATCATATCAATCCCATTCCACATCTTGCCATTCCACTGCAAAGTGAGAGCCTGGGAAGGGTCACCAGCATCGAGAAAGGAGTATCAAGAACTCCATCAGAATCCATTAAGCATCTGGGGTTGGACCATCTTAATTAGTTCTCCACTCCTGTAGGGGGAAACTGGTACCATTAGCCATCAAAAAGTGTCACAGAACCGCCCGCCCACCTTATTTCCAGGCCACCAAACCTGCCACCAAGGGCAAAACCCAAACTGAGCGTGTACCCTTCACTATGTATCAGGTCGAAGACATCTTGACACAGCTCCATGGTTGACATTGAGGTGATGAAGTCTTGAGTCAGACCACTGAGAGCAGCTTTAACATGGATGTTGAAGTCACCCAGGACAATATTCCCAGGGTTCTCCAAAACCATGCCAGAGACCTCCTACATCAGTTTGGTAAAGAAGGCTGCTGGACAGCAGGTTGGGTGGTACCATCACAACAGTAACAGGACAGATAGTGCCTAGATGAATTTCACCAAAGAAATTTTAAAAATTGCCATCAAATTACTAAAAAACTCTCTGTGAACAGCTTGGTAAACCATTATGATAAAGAGTTAGTATGCTAGGGTTAACACACCCACACCCAAAATTAAGAATGCCAAATAGCTTTAGAAAATGCATGATGCTTTCACATTCAATAATTCAGGCAATGAAGCAAGTACAGTTTCTTATGTAAGACTCATGTGTCTCATTCTAGAAACGTGTGTGGCTTCTTGCATTATATATGTAAGAAGAGCTGCTTGTCGGTTTCCCCTGGTATCTCGTTGGACATTGTGAGAAGGAGAAGGCTGGACTAGATGGGCCTGATCCACAGCAGGGCTCTTCTTAGGTTCTTATGAAGGAAAATAGTAATTTACATACATAGTTTCACAAAACACCTTTTACTGTAAGAACTCTGGCTTACCAAAAGGAGGTAGTCCATAGGCTTGGGTTGTCTGAGGATAAACAGCGTATGTCTGCGACTGCTGCAGTGCTTGGTACTGAGTCTGACCAGAATAAGAGGCCATCGTTTCCGATACAGGTACAGAAAGAATATGTGCATATGGCCTGGTTAAGGAAAAGAAAAATATTGCCATTAAGGAATGCTGATAAGTAACTAGACAACAGGGTTGGGTAAGGAAGGGAGTGAAGAAGTTTCCCACTCCCAAGCTCAACCCGTCCCTCAACATATACTCCCTATAGGTAGCATTACAGCAGAAAGAGAGAGTCTGCCTGGGGTACATGGAATTGCCTCCCCTTCCTGGCTTCCTCCCGATAGCACAAGGCTGCCACAGGCTGCACACTTGCTCCTTTGGGGAGAGAGAGGAAACTGCTCCTCGCTTCAAAGCAACCTCGTCACAGCCAGGGAACTCAGGAGACAACGCTCATCTCTTATGACAGGCACGTGCAACATTGAGGAGGTTGTGATCTGTAATTCAATATCAAAAACTGGCAGTGATCTACCACCCTCCGAAGTCATTAAACAAACAAACAAACGGATCTTTATTTCACAGTCAGAGCGTGCAGGTCTTCTCTCCCCCCCCCCCCCAAAGCAGCCCATTCTCTCTAAGAAGACAGAGCATGCAGGGCTTTTCTCTCTCTCTCTCTCTCTCTCTCTCTCTCTCTCACACACACACACACACACCATCCTCACTCACTCACTCCACCTCCAGCTTTCCCCTACTGTTGCTTTAAAATGCAGCTGACTTTGTGTCAGCATCCCCAAGCCCTTACTCCACCTCTCTTTCCCCTACTGTTGCGCGTTAAAGCCTTTCCCTCACTCAAACTCATGGAGCGCTAAGGGGGCTTTCCCCCATGTGTTTTGTTCTTTGCCTCCCTCGCTGTTTGTGGAGGGGGGGCTCCTTTCTTATTTATTTCTTTGCTTTTGAACTAGTGGGTGAGAAGGCAAGGAGCTTTTCGTTCCCTGCTCCCCCCCTCCAGTTTGTCAAACACGCAGGCAATGCAGAGGGGGCAGCAAGGAAGGAAGGCAAGCCAGCTTTGGAAGGAGGCTCAGATGGAAGAGGAGGAGGAGGAGCTCAGGCTTACACGAGACTGGCAGCAGCAGCGACTGCTGCTGCGTCCAGCTGCAGAAAAGGCTTTCCCTTCTCAGCCTGTGATCAACGAAAATCAGTCTGGAGTCCCTGAGTCAATCGCGATTGACGTCTTGGACAAGGGGGTCTTATGTGATTCATGGTCTCCTGTCTATCGCTCACGTTCAGGCTTCTGGGGTGTATATACCCTCTAAAAGACAGGAGCGTGTGGTCTCCAGATTGCTACATGCACTTCTGTCGCACAGAAGGTGTACACATCAGGCAACAGAGGAAAATATATTTCTAGGTGCAATGCATTTGCCTTCACAGTTTAACAGGTATTTCTGACAGGGGAAGAAGGACTGTATAGTGTGCATTTTTTAAGGTCAACTCTTCCAAGGAGGGGGGGACAGGGCAAGGCAGGCCTTCAAGAAGTCATGCCCATGGCTGATTGCTCCCCATTCCCCATGTGAGCACACAATCCTTTTCATTGCAAGGAGATGGCCTCTCCTGCCATTTAAAGTATTCTTTAGCTATGGGCAAAGTTGTTACCGATCTGAGAGTGAACGCTGTGTTGTCAACGTAAAGAGTCTTAAGACAAAACTGGGCCCACATCCCTTCACCGACTGAGGTAGTAGTATCTGTTGTGAAAGTGGAACCCTATTCAACACTATGGAGAAAGAAACCATCAGTTGAGCCAAACTATTCAACTTACTTTGCAGAATACATCTGTGAGGTATATTCATTTGATGACCTTGAGATGTAATCAGTGCATGGCATAACTGGAAAATATATAGAGATTGATAAGTACATGTAAATTATTTAAGAGAATAATAGTTTTGAACATATCAGCGCAAGCATCACAAAGTTGTAATGTTCACCGTTGTATTTAGAAGACATATGCATTCCAGTGTAAATAATACATGGAAGAGGGAGTTAGGAAGTGGGAGTTTTCACCCTCCTCTCTCATGAGGGAATACGGAGATGAGGGAAGCAGTGCTAGACCTTGAGCCTCGCTGTGACTCATTCACAATCATCCAAGGCATGGCTTAGAAGGCATCTGGGTCCACCAGATGCTGTTGGACTCAACTCTCCTCAGATCCAGTTAGCATCAGAGATGATGGGGCTTGTAGACGAGAAACAGATACATGGCCAAAGGGTCTCCACTCCCGGTTTAAATGATTCTTTGAACTAGGCCAACATGGGAGAATTATTAAGCCAGAGAAGCATTACATAGAAAAGAAGGAATCACAGCAAGAGCTAATTCTAGCTGTGAGAATGTGTGTAGCAGCTCACTAAAATGAGCTACTTTCCCCAAGCTTTATGCCAGAGGAGGGTATTCAAGGACAGCTGTATGGTTAGTTCCACGTGTTCTGCATGCTGCGCTTACAGAAGTAACTGTATATTCCTCCGAGAATGCCCTCCTCCTATATTACACAGTGCTTATCTATAAGCAGGCAAGTCAGCAGGCAGTGGGGGTAAGTCCTAGAAATTACTTCTATAATTGCTTTGTATAATTAGAAGTCTTCAATATGCTACCATACACCCTTTTCCTTCTTTGGGCTGAGTATACACCACACATTTAAAGCATATCTCCCCCGCCCCCCCAAGAATCCTGGGAACTGTGGTTTATCCAGCACAGAGCTGCAATTCTCAGCACTACAATCTACAGTTCCCAGAATTCTTGGTGTGTATGGTGTGTATTCTTAGAGTCCTATGGCTCTTTTCCTATGTTAGGGAGAGAACAATCTGGCTAGTGTGATCGCATAGCACTTCAACGATAATATCTGAAACTCAGCACCTTCTTCCCAAGCTACCAATTTGCAACTATACTTGCTATGGGCGTGGTGTGCCCAGGACAAGATCCTTCCCTATAGGTTACCTAAAGTTTGGATGGGTTTACTATAATTAGTTGTGTCCCATAGGAAGCTGCCTTGTTCTAAAGTCAGACTAAAGCCCATCAAGCTCAATATTATCACCACTGCCTGACTGTAGCTCTGCAGTGTTTCAGGCAGGATTCTTTCTCAGCCCTAACCTGGAGAAACCAGGGACTGAACCTGAAAACGTGTGCTCTACCACTCAGCTACAGCCCTTCCCACCATTGCCTTTAAGCTATGAGCAGTCGTCTCTTGGTTAGATACCCAGGTTAGGACCAAATGCCAGCTATGGCTGAACCAGCAGGAGAGAGCAAAAGGCAGTTTTGGTATGCTTCACCTGACAATGGATTGACTGTCACCAGAATGACCCAGCCAAATTAAAGGAGCAGAGAGATTTGTGAGAATACTGTGGTGGACAGCCCTTCTTAAAAAACAGTGTTAGTGGCTCACGGCTTTCATTTTCATTATTAGCATCATAAGTTCTCTTCTGTTGCAGCAGCCCCTTGATATCCTTGCTCAGCAGCCCCTCACGAACAATGGTTTGTAAAGAAGGTGTGGGTGCCAACGTTATGCCAAACCTTGGCTTTATAAACCATGATTAGTGTTATGCCTGAATTTAGCCTTTGACAGTCCTAGGGGACCTTCAGCCAGATGCTTTTACACCCTCAAGTGCACGAGGCAATGGGGCTAATACCATCTCCATCTGGTTCCTTTGTGGTTACAGAACAGAGAAAAGGGGAAAGGCTGTAGCTCAGTGGTAGAGCATCTGCTCTGCCTGCAGAAGGTCCCAGGTTCAATCCCTGAAATCTTGGAGGAACCTAGACAATATTCAGTATATTGTCAGCATAGACAATATTGAGCCAAATGATCTGACTCAATATAAGGCAGCACCCTATGTTTCTATGACAGAGAGAGGTAGTACATTTTCTTCCCCATTTGGTTTCACTGACAGGCAAGTTCAAAGGAATAGCTTAATGGCTCGTTGATTCAGGAAGCCTTGCATTTTTCTGGTGTGTGTGTGTGTGTGTGTGTGTGTAGATTCTCCCCAGAAACCTGGGAATTCTAAGGACTTGTATGTACAATTCAGGCACACAAACTTACCCAGTTCTTCTACTCAACTGTAAAGATAAAGAAGCCACTTACTTTCATTGGACATGGACAGGTTTGAACCAAGGCTTGAGGATTCAGGTTTCTGATCACTATCGTCTGTGCTGTTCACTTGCCTGAAAGGATCAATACAGAAGCAGGAGCTGTTGCTTATCTCTGCAGCACAGAAGCACTGGCTCAATTTCAACATCAGGTGAAACTATAGCTTGCTCTCTAAGCACAGTTAAGAAGACAAACCAGAAGGGCGGAATCATTGCAAACTGAGTGTGGTGCCCTGCACAAATGGAGCTCCACTTGCACAAGGTGCCTCCACCCAATTTTGGGTAACACTTCTCCTCTGATGGTCCCACATGGCCCATCCCACACCATGCAGGAGGATCTCATACCATCTAGGAAGACTTGAGGGTGCATGTTCTGGGGGGCAGGAAAGTCCCTCTCCATGTTCTTCATTCCATTCCCAGTTTTCACAAGTGAAACCGTTGTGAAGTTAAATACTGTATTCCTTATCCCAGTTCAAGACAGAGAGCTATGTTTAATGCTGTGGTTGTGTGTGTGCAATGGAACTTCTTCCTCTCCTGTCCCCACAGCAACCCTCCACCCATCCATTTTGTGTTGTGTCTTTTAGATCTTGTTTTTAATCTGTGCACAGTGCTTAGTAGACATGAGGTGCTTTAGACATCACCATGATGGTGATAATTTTTTATTAGCACAATGTACAGCAATGGTTCTATTCCTAAACAAACATTTTTGGAATATTTGGTAGGTTGTGGGCTCTCCTTCCTTGGAGGTTTTTAAGCAGAGGTTGGATGGCCATCTGTCATGGATGCTTTAGCTGAGATTCCTGCATTGCATGGGTTAGACTAGATGACCCTTGGGATCCCTTCTATCTCAATGATTCTATGAAAACATGTGCTTTAACTGGGATCTAGTAATCATTTGCCTACAGCTGAAAATTGTGTATGAAGCTTAATTGTAGCAAGTATGTTTTCCTAGTGGGAGGGTACACATATTAAGTTTTCCCTTAGCTAAAATTCCTGAAATGACTATAAAAACTCCAATTTAGAGATGGGAAGGGTCATAGTAATAGAGCAACTGCTTGGCATGCAGAAACTCCTGGCTTTGATGCCTGAAGTGCTGGGGTGCCATCGCCAGGCAATGTAAACAATGCTAAGCTAGATGAACCAATGTTCTGCCTTGGTAGAAGACTACTTTCTATGTTCTTGTGTGTTGTGAGAAGTGTTATTTGCACTAAGTATAATATGGAATTTGGGAGTTTCCTAGATGCAAGTAAAGTAATGCTTTCAATAATTTTCTAGAATGCAACATTACACACAAAAAGCATGTGGGATATAGCATGCAGTGGCATCCTACAAACAGTTACACAGAAGCTATCTGAAAAACATTGTTTCTTGTTATGAGAAGGAGCAATTGCAAGCCTAAAGTGTTCATGGCTCCCTCTTCCCTCCCCCTGTGTGGGCAGAGCCTGAAAACTTCCTACAGTTTGAAACAAACCACAGCTTTCCATTTCAGAATATGGGAAACTGTGGTTTGTGCAAACTCGGATCAAACCATGGTGCAATATTCTGATTTTTACAAACCAGCCTCCCATACTCAAATAAAATAGAAAACTGCAGTTCCTTGCAATCTCTTCCTCTTTCGTGCAAAAAGGAAAGGGGGTGGGGTGCACTAGCCTGAGGCTCAGAGATTCACATTCTCATAATAACCAACTAGGCTTTTTCTTGTACTGGGGCACTATACTCAATGGGACTTTCCCCCTCTCTGAATTTGGCTCCAATCCCTACTTCATGAAAGCCTTGAAAACAAATGGCTCTTTTTTTAAGTTCCTGATCACCATCTGTGAAATGTTGTTAACAGCGACCTACTTCGCAGGGTTGTTGTAAAGATTAGTCAAGTAAGATTTGTAATGTCCAACAGATACTAAAACGAAGTACAAATATAAACAGAGTAATAGCTCTCTCTTTTAAACAAAATATACAAAAACCCCACAGAAATCTGACAAGTGCAGTTAAAAAACAAATTCAAGAATTACACACCTTAACAGCTGTTCGCCTGATTCCTGCATCTTGGCTTTTTTCATCTGCAAAGAGAAATATATTCAGTGATATCAGGTTAGCCATGTCATAAATACAACAATAATACTACAAAGAAAGGGCTGCATGCTGCTGGTAGTAAATCAATATATTTATGTTTGCCTAAATATGAAAAATAGCATACGAGTCACAAAGGTTTGGCTCAGACATTACGGGGAACCACGATTAAGATAGCAGCCAAAGTACCCTAGAGCTATTACCCAAAATATCTCGTTTTCATAAATTGGTTTTTCCTATTTTGTAAATATGGTGAGGAATATGTTAAAAGCGGGATCTCCCATCCAAGTTCAGAGCCACTGGACCCTAACAAATATAAGGGTAGTTTTACCCTCTTCTAGTGCCCTTACTGCCCTTTTCGCTTGTTGGTTTTCTTAGAATTTTGTAGATTCACACCTTCCTTGAGTGTTTTTGCCTGCCTGGAATATGTCTTAAACTGTGATCAGGCCTTTTGCTTGCCACAATGAAGGACAGAGAAAGGCGTGAGGGTGTGTTAAAACGTGCCTATTGTCTGAGGTAAAATTTACATTGCTCCACCCGCTTTTGCCTCTGGCATGTGGCCCCCAGAAGGGAATGTGGCCCTCAATCTGAAAACAGCCCCCCCCCCATGCCATTAATTATAACTTGCCAATTCAGACTTCACATTAGGGCCCATGCTCCGGGGAATCATCCAAAGTGAGCCTGTATTGTCTGCTTCTACCTTTCTCCTCTCTCTAGGGAAGTGAAAATGAAAGACCAGCCTCACATCTGGAAAGATCTGCCAATGCTTTGCCATTAAGCCTTGAGCTCTAACAAGCGCAGATAAGAAATTTTAATTTTCCTGCAAACCTGGCATGTGGCACACGTCTACAGCACTTGTAATAAGATCACTTAGCACGTTTTAACGATAGCCATCTGTGCTGAAATAAACACCGGGAAGCGACATTAAATTATCTAGTCTGGGTTACTATGTCAATAAAAGGATACAATCTAACCTTTAATGTAGAGCACTTACATAAATGTTGCGCACAGCGCAGCCTAGAGGAGCAAGCAAAGACTTTGTTTCCTTCCACTGTTCAGCCAAAACAGAGCTAGCCACTTGGAGAAGCTGATTTTAGTATTAAAAGTTCCTTCCTCAAATGAACTTCACTTGGGCAAGGGCCACAGCTCAGTAGGAGAGGATCTGCCTTGCATGCAGAAGGTCTTAGGTTCAATCTCCAGTTAGGAGATTTCAGGCATGCCCCCTGCCTGAAACTGCTGCCAATCGGTGTAGACAATATGGACCAAAGTTCTGACTTGGTGTAAGGCAGTTTCTTGTGTTGAAACCACTGAAAGCCCAACAGTTTCCATGATCTGCTAACTCCCTACTGCAAATATTCTGAAAGGTGGAACTTTTTCAGTGAAAGTTTATCTTGTGAATCACCCTGCAATATATGGATGAAGGGTGGTATATTATTATTATTATTATTATTATTATTATTCAGGTGGTGGTAGAAAAGCTAACAATATTTTTAAGGGGGGAACGCATACATTTTGTGGCAAACAGGAGATTCGGTGGTGGCTGAAGAAGTTTGCCAAAAAGTGAAGAATGTCAATAAATTAAATGGTGTAAGGAAACATGACAATTTGGTGATCATTTGTTGTTGTTGCTGCCGCCGCCGCATTAGATATGCTTTTATAACAGCAAGTCACTTTGAGACATTTTTGTCGTAAGTGGCAAATAAATGTAATAAATATTATTATTAGTAGTAATAGTACTCATTGAAGGATAGAAGATTTACATGTGAAAGCTCACGGTGTTAAATTGCTTTATTACTTAGTGTTAACATTTATGACTTTATTACTAATTATTAAATTACTTTGTGACTTTGCTGAAAAGAGTTTGATAGCCACCTTTGTACTACATAAACCTGCTTTGAGGTTTTTTTGTTGAAAAGCAAGATATAAATACTCTGAACAAATAAATGGTATTAATTTCAAGTAATTATAATTTATTGATTTATATACCACTGTTTTTACAAAAATATTGAGGAAGTGCCATAGCAAAACACATGACTGGCATACAAAATGCCCCAAGTCTAATCCCAGGTAAGGTTGGGAAAGAATCCGGCCTGAAACTCTGGAGAGCTGCTGCCAGTCTGTGTTGTCAGTACTGAGCAAGTTGGATCAATGGTCTGACTTGCTAGATGGCAGCTTCCTAAGCTCCTCTCCGTGCAATAAAAACAAGATTAACTGTATCAAAACAAAAGCACAATTTTGTTTTGAGACAAAAATCTGTCAGTGGTGTGCACAATAACCATTTTACAAATCTGACATTCAGCAAAACTTCCTTAAAACCCCCCACATTATTTCATAAATAAAATAAAACAGTGTACAAATCAGAGAGTTAAAGGGTAAATATGCAAGATTTTAGAGAAGCATTAAAAGTTTTCTGCCTCACAAACTACCCAAGAGAGGGCTTTCCAGAAGGTGGTACTATCACTGTCTCGATCAGTTGGGTATGGAACAACCCACAACAGGAATCAGCAAACTTTTTCAGAAGGGGCCGGTCCACTGTCCCTCAGACCTTGTGGGGGGGCCGGACTATATTTTGGGGAAAAATATGAACGAATTCCTATGCCCCACAAATAACCCAGAGATGCATTTTAAATAAAAGGACACATTCTACTCATGTAAAAACACGCTGATTCCCGGACCATCCGCGGGCTGGATTTAGAAGGCGACTGGGCCGGATCCGGCCCCCGGGCCTTTAGTTTGCCTACCCATGACCTACAAGGTCTCCTTGAAATATTTCAAATACCAGCTTGGTCTGGGACTGGAGGTGGGAGAGGAGAGGTGGTCTGCTAGGCACCTTGATCCCAAATTGTTTAGGTTTTTACATTTCCGCAGTAAAACCTTCAACTTGGCCAGGCAACTAAAAGGTAGCTAGTGCAGTTCTTTCAGCACCAGCGTAGTATGCAATTTAAAAAAATTATTCATGGGTATTATTATTATTAACACTGATTCGTTAATCGTCTTCTAAACCAGAGTCTCAAGGTGATTCATGTACAAATACCTAAAACACAATCAATAAATTTAAAGCAATACTAAAATTCTATTCGATCTTGGCTGTTCCATTCTCTTATCTGTGTTTCAAATTATGGACCTTCAGGAGACAGTATAAAGAAGTGATGGGATGAAGGTCAGATTGGGAAGCTATCTGAAGTTCTTGTGTTGTTGCTGTTGTTGTTCACTGCATTGAGCCCACAGTTTCACAATATGCTTTAGGTAGCTGCCTCTTGCATTTCAGTTGTGTACAAATGCAAAAAGAGCTATTTTTGAATGAAGAATTGCCCCAAAGCAGTATTTATGGAACAGAAGGTATACCTATAACTGTGATGAATACTTGTTTAGATTTATGAGGCAAACGTTTTTTGCATGCATTTGTATGCCAGAAGTTCCCAAGTCAAATTTCAGCTTCCAATCGTCAGCAAATGTGCACTCAAGATAGATACAGTTGAATTTTAAAACTTTGTTTTCCCACAGCATCACAGAAAATTGAGATTAAAAAATAATGCTGAAATAACTGCTTCTAAAATTTCTTTTCTGGCAAAAATAAATTCATTAAAATATTATCAATGAACTCTATACATATCAATGAACTCTACAAATATCCTGCCTATTAACCACTGGGTTCAGATATAAAATTCTCTACTTCTTTGTTTTCTATTCCTGCAAGCCAAATAGGACACAGAATCAATTTACCGCACTTCAGAAGACTCACTCATTCACGTGAAACACAAATATGTTTGTCTATAGCTGTTGCAGTTTCTCTTATATACTCACAGGCTGTTCCGCTAAATCTTGTACCTCTTCCATGGATGTCTTTTCAAAATGCTCCAGTGGGCAGAATGTGTGTCTTCCTCTGCTGTCTTCAAAGTCTGGAACAAAAGATGGCCATAGCTTTATGTACTTTTGGAAGTGCTTATCATCTAGGCTATCAGTGACTACACTCATATCTAATGTGACAGTTTTAAAAACAAAACAAAACAGGTGGGCTTGCCCAAAACAAAGAGACACCACATTCACGTAGGGGAAACGGCAAAGATTTACCATTAAGCCCCAAGGTACAATAGATAGGGCAAGATAACAGAGACTTGTGCACACCGCGGCACGTGGCACATTTCCACAACATTTCCCTTGCAACATAGCCTGCACAAAAGACAGCATTTCCAGTACTTCAGAAGAGCCACGTGTGGGGCACTTGCAGAAATACTTCAGGATTACCAGAGTTACATTAAAATGATAAAAGTCCAGGCCATGTTGTTAGTGAACGCTACGATACAATCTAACCTGCTTTAATGTAGAGCACTTACATAACCGTCACACACACACATGCGCAAGAACATATCATCAACGCAAAACCAGGACAAAAGTTATAGTCACAGCTGCCCAAACAGGTAAATGCCACTAGTACGTATAGATGGCTTTAAAGGAGGGGGCTAGACAAAAGTCTATCAATGGCTCTTAACAAATATACCACTGAGAATCAGTTTGGGGCAAGTTGGCATTGTCTTCATGCCTTGCCAGCGGGTTTCCTGGAGGCATCAGGTGAACCACACTGGGAAATGAGAAATCAGGACTAGATGGATCCAGTTTCTTAATTTCTTGTTTGTTTGCTTTATTTGCCACTTTTTTCCTAGTTGCTCTAATTATTTTCCAAGAATTACAACACAAATAACACAAACAATAACAGGAAAAGACAACTATCAATTTAGAAAGCCACCAACAGCTGAAAGTCAAAAGAGTACATCTTGCATTTTTTGTAAACAAACAAACATTCAAAACAGGGCCTTTTCAGTGGTGGTGGCGTGACTATACAACTTTGAGGAAATCCATCATGCCTCCTTTCTTGCAGTCTTTGGGCGTGTTTTAAAACCTTTTTGTCCCACAAAATATTTAAGGATAAAGCCTTTTTGCCTCTGCAGCGGCTCTTTGATTCTGTTTCCCGTTTATTTATTTTTATGATAATTTTTAACCTGCCTTTCTAAAATGCATGCATAATCCAGACGGGCCTATAATATGTACTCAGAATTAATTTTTCGTTGAAAATTTCACACATTAAAATAAATGGAAAGAAGAGCACCTTGTGCCGATTTATCCGAATAGTCCCTATACAAAATGCTTCCTTGGAAAGATATTATGTTGAAAGGATTACCTAATAAAAAATTAATAAAAAAGAGATAGCTATCCTACCCTAACCTTGGGCTGAACCCTTCCCAAAGGCATTAAAAAAAATCAAGGTAGTAACTTCATTCTGAAGGGATGTGAAAAAGATTGTACGAACACAATCATATAATTCCAAAACGGCCTTTATAATAACACACTGGACAGTTTTGGGAGTCCAAGAGGGTGATCCTATGGCAAGATCCACTGAGATGAGCAGTTTAGGATGTAGCAGATCTCCAGCTCTTAGGCTTTCTCTTAGGTTTTCTCTTAGGCAGAGCAGCAGCAGCCCCATTGCTGAACAGGGTTTGGATCTGGCGTAACTTTACGCCGACTTAATTTACAACGGCTGGCTTTACATCAGCTTCTTGTGCATAGGATTGCTCCCTAAGTAAATCCTTCTTCAAAGGACATACCAGACTTTGGGGCAGCCCAATACCTGACGCCCATGTCTCCGTGCAACATCAAACAGCACATACATATCCAAAATCAGAAGGGCTCCCCTCTCCAGATTATAACCACAGCACGCAGACTGAAATGTGTTTTAAACAACATTAGGCACTGCAGTTAGCTTTATTTAAAAAATAATAATAAACATGACATTTGTATTTTTGTGGTTTTCAAATTTGTTATATTATATTAAATAAAGTAAAAAATTAAAAAATTGTCCAGTAGCACCTTAGAGACCAACTAAGTTTGTTCTGGGTATGCATGCACACGAAGGCTTATACCCAGAACAAACTTAGTTGGTCTCTAAAGGTGCTACTGGACCATTTTTTAATTTATTTTGACTGCGTCAGACCAACACAGCTACCTACCTGAACTTATATTATATGGTTTTCGTAGTTCTATAATTATTAAAGACTCTCTTAATAGGATTTTGGCCTGAAAGGCAGCATAAAATAATATTTGTCTTAAAAAATGCACAGGTTGCATATACTTCAGTATAAAACGGACAGGAAAAAGTATTCTCTCTAGCCACAAATGATAAACAGAAACAATGTAAAGATGAATCAAAATTGCTGGACTAGTTCAATATAGTTTTATATAGTTATCTATTTGTGCAAAACATTACTACACTGCTCTTCTTCAAAAAAGGAAAAATATGCTACATAATCTAAAAACAAAGAAAATGACAATAAAGAGTCACAAGAACATTAAGATAAGCCAGCAGATCACTTTGTCATAAGCAGATCTAAAATGCTTAAAATTCCTTGAAGAATAAAAATATTTTTGCCTGGGGGGAAATGATGATCATGCAGAAAACCTCCCTGGGGAATTCCACAGTTTATCCATAATTCCCCCCCCCCATGTGTATATTTGTTATGGTGCTGTGTCTCACACCAATTCTCTAGATGTCATACAACAAATTCATGACAACAAGATCACATAAGGATATAGTCAACAGTAAATTCCAAAGCCAATACAAACAAATAAAACCAATACCAACCACAGTTACATTTAACTCAGAAGGAGAGAAAAAATTCAACCAATTTCCATTACTAGCAGAGACTAATAATATTTGTGGTGCCACCACAGAAAAGGTCCTCAGTCAAATGGCTATATTCTTCACGGGAAGGCACAGAGAGAAGGGCTCTGGCAGATGGCTAACAACAATTTCTTAAAATAAACGGTCAGAAGATAACATAAAACCCAACAGCAACTAAAAACTGCATTTGGTACTGAAGCTCTCCATGGAAAGGTTAAAATTTAAAAGCAAATGATTCTGCTAAACATAATGTTACTACCTTTTTGCTCTCTGCTCTCACTCTGTCTTTCTGCGGCTGCACGAGGATTTGTAAGATGGTTTATCGCCAATATGCGCCTGCACTAGGATTTGTAAGATTGTTTATCAACAACAATGTCCAGTGTGCATTAGCATTTGTAAGATAGTTTATCAACAATTGGCTTTCAAAGGTTAACTCTTCCGAGGAGAATTTCATGCATTTATTTTACAAAACGTTCGCATATATATGGAAAACATTTTTGCAACTTTGGCCTTTAATCTTTCTAAATTTCCTAAAGCAGACTTAGCTGTATCAGTCTACTTACCACTAGGGAACTGTGTATCTGATTGCAGCTTTACTTATGTGATGAGGAACCTAATTCAATCTATGAAGAAAAGATCTCGACCACACACAAATTTACTTAGAATTAGGTATGTCATATACTGAAACCGTAAATTCCAAAATGTTATTTATTCATATTTGTTGTTTTCTGTATTATAATAGAAATGCAATCCTTTTTGCATTTATGTTCTTTTGTTTCTCATATTACAACAGTTAATTTACCCAAAAATAAAGCTCCTAGGTGAGAAAATTTTAGGAGCCAGGAGAAAATCTGTCAGTGCCAGCCTCTGACAGTGTTGGCTATATTTTCTTAGGTTCCAGCATCACATTTTAACCTTCTCCAGCACTATTAATTAGGAACAAGTTAAATAAGCTTTAGCTTTCTAAATGTTCTGTATTACCACCAAAAAGTAAATATTTCTGAAGATTTTAATTCAGAACTGCAACACAAATGGCCTAATAGCTCCAAACAAAAAAATCAATTGTAGGCAAGACAAATCTGCTTTGCAGTTTAATCCCTTTCTTCCTCATGATTTCCCCAAAAGAGACCCTTTTGCATAGGAAACTAAAAACACAGCCCAGAAAAGCAAAGAGCACATTTATCCTAAGAAATACTGAAATCCACAGTACATAATTCAATGCAAAATTACTGCAGTGTGATTTCAAGTCACATTTCCTCCAAGCAGCATAAAGTTGTGTCTGGGCTGCAAACTGCAATAATTTCCTCCACATTTTTTAAAGGGGCCTCACATTACTAAATGGCTCCTTTTAAAAATCACATATGCTAAGGAGAAGGCTAGGCTAGGACCTTCTCCCTGCCATCCTGGTTTTCTACATGGAAAGCATTTTTTAAATTATTTGAACCCTTGCAAAGAAGTGGCACAGTCCACATACAGACTTACAATCTCAGTAGCCAAATTTAGAAAATCCTTCTCAGGATAATAAACCACGGCTTAATAAACTCCTCTTTCCAGTGCATGATAAATATTGATCCGTATAGATTTATTCTGTTTCACCATATATGCCACAACCCTTTTCAAAGAAACCAGTAAGGAATACTGAGAATAAATGTGGGTGTCCCCCTTCCCCCAGTTATAGGAAACATTTTACACTAAAGGTACTAACAAGCTTGATACAAATTTGATATCTTACTTTGGAATAAGGGAACCTCTTTTAATTAACCCAACAAATGATACATATTTTGACAGTAAACATTATCAAAACCTGTTCATCTGTTTATTTTAGATCTCACTAGTTTCCCCACATATTTTAATCTTAGGCCCCCAAAACAAAACATAAGTCAACATTGGTGGGGTTACATCTCCCAAAATTAGCCATTTGATAAAAAATATTTTAATGTAGCAGTATGATAGCTTGGTAACACATTTTCTTTGAAATTTGGACTAATCATGGTGTGTATAATCTTATTCAAAATCCATTATTCCAAAACTTTATCAAATATAACAGATAGTAAGTCTTTCCTTCTTAAAGGTACATTGTGTTCAAATCTAACAGCAATGAATAAGTATGCCCAAGCCCAAAAACCCATGTTTAGACATTACTAGTTTTTAATTTAATACCCACTTCATCCTTAGATGAAACAAAAACAGAATCATGTTGGTGCTCTGAAAACAAATCTAGATGAT